CCGCAGTACATGGCTCGAAATAAGGAAACAACTGTGTGACGTTACCAATAATCCTACACTACTATTACTTAGTGTACGGAATTTTATGTTGGGCTAGTCTGTGTACTCGTTTTAAAGTTACCAAATTAATGAATGGAGCTTGACAAAAGCAGAGTACTTTTTATATTACCTATTTTTGTCCTTAGGATATTCTCATTTCCACTCAGAGACTACATGTTGCACATTTATATATTTTTTATAATTTCATTATTTGTTGTAACAAAATGAGTTTGTGCACAAAATTTAAGTTTATATTTCCACTCTCGAACAAAAGGCTTTTCTCATAAGCACGGCCTTCTTGTGATCAGCTTGGTGTCATTGAGTTTTGTATTCCCAAAATTATCTAAAAAGTTTGTATATTCATTGTAGCCAGATCAATAGAAATTGGAGGAATAGTTTTCCAACTGTGTTTTATACTACAGTTTTTATTTAATCTCTTTAACTAAAATTTACTAATGACCGCCGAATTTATTTTTTGGTGATGGCTTTTTAGAGCGTATGTTTCAGCGATATGTATGGCTTAGTCATATTCATTATATTAGTTTCTCTGTGTGGGTGAAGTATAAGTTTTTTTTCTTTATGAACTTATAAAACGGAGACATTTTTTAGTGTACATGAGCTGTATGCTTTAAAATGCAGGGCGAGGTAGGTCAGGGTAGGGTAGCTATAGCTCCTGAGTTTGTATGATGTAATGCGCAGTAATGTGAATTCACTTATTCATGTAGTTTTCCACGTCTCTTACACAGGAACACTAAGTTAAATCTTATCATTACTAATACAGTGAAACGTTTAATTTCCGAAATCTAGATACCGCATATTCTCAAACTTTTATGGAATTATATTTCTATCTTCAGGTTCTGCAGTAATGGTAAGCAAGACTTACCATGCATGATTTAGTTTTGGCATTCATAAAATCGTCCCATTGAATTCAATACGAATTCGGTTAACATAGATGGCGCTCAGGCTCGATTTTTGTGGACTGTAAACAATCAAGCATGAGTAGTTCTATGAACACTGTGATATTGGGATTTCATTACAATATATAACTGTATGTATGATAAAACTTTATAAAGATCATTTGTTATATGTTCAATGATTATCTTTTCATTTCATTTTATCAAGGTTTAGTTCTTTCCGTTTTTTTCCAGCGACGAAATTCATAGTAGCAATACTCAAGTAGTGTTAGTACAGGATTGAGAGTCTATATAGAGTTAGCTACCGTTAAGGCAATGAAGGTGTATAACTGGGAGAACTCGTCAACATCTAGCCACAAAAAAATAAAAAAATGGGACAGTGGTCTTTCGCCCAGATGAATCCGTTGACCGAAGCTTTGATAGATTGCAACGAGAGTACCCACTGGGGCAAATAAATCGACCAGCTTTAATGTCTTTAGCCAAAGAACGAGAATCCAAAGATTCACAGGAAGATGCAACCTTACTGGACTCGCAGAAGATTCCTTTCATGAGGCCCGATACGGCGCACAGCTTGACGCACAAGATGGGTTTCAGTGAACTTCTTCCATGTCAGGCTCAATGCTACCGTGGGATTTTTAACAGCCGAGATGTTATTTTGCACAGCCGCACCGGGAGTGGAAAAACCCTCGCGTACGCTCTTCCAATTATTGAGCGTCATTTCATCCTCGACACCCACACGGAGGAGGCTGGCAAACCTCGTCGAGCGAACCGTTTGGCAACACGGCCCACGGCGTCCGCACAAGCGGGTCCCTTTTTACTGATCTTTGTCTTTAGCAATGACTTGGCCGTCCAAACCAAGGCGGTTCTCGCAAAAGTCTATCCAGTCTTGCGGATCGGTGTGGCGGGCTTTGATGAGATGTCGTCGTCGGTCTACGACGTGCTTATCGGCACCGTAGGCCGTCTAGATGAGGTGATCCGAGGAAGGTACACTTCCACTGAGGTCCTAGACGAAAGCGATGAGAAGGGAATGGACGAAAAAGTTCCCATAGGGGGAAATGATCGGGTGGATGAGGTCAAAGACCGGAAGTCCCGGCGTCGACCAAGGACGGAGGACGGCGTCCCCAAGGCGGTCGGGTCCAAGTCTCGTAAGGATGAGATGGCGAAGGGGAAGGAGAGGCATCGTAGGATCAACCATGAGGGCGACGACGAGACGAACTCGACAACGTCCCAAGAAAGTGACGCGGAAGACGAGCAGACGACAGCAGGCAGAGGGGAAGCCATGGGAATTGCCTCTGGTAGGTATCATAAGAATCCTGAGGTGTGTGTGGCTCACGTTCGCGCTATCGTGATTGATGAGGTGGATACAACTCTGGGGCCGCGCTTTTCTAATGTTGGGCGTCGCATCAAGAACCTTTTTAAATTCATTCGTAAGGCGAACGGATCACTGAGAAAGGGTCTTTTAGATGAGTATCGTGTCCACCACTATGTTCTATGTGGCGCCACAATTCCAAACTGGGTCATAAAGGCGGGATTTCTTGGCGTGAAGAAGTACTATTATCAGCTTGTCGCTGTCGGTGGAGACAAGCTACCAACCGGTCTAGAATGTTTCAAATACAAATGTCCTTTATCCAAACGTGCGGACGTTGCGGCGCAGCTTCTGACTGAGCACACCGATCTTTTGGGCCGTGTTGTTGTGTTCGGCTCTCATAAACAGATAGAGGCGTTGGAGAAGGCCATTCAACGCTGTGCGCAGATGAAACCCACAGGGGTGTCACTTTTAGTCGTTCGCACTCTCACTTCAGCCAAGGATGAGGTAGACCGCATTGCCAGTATGGAGGATTTCAACCAAAATGTGGCTTCAGTGCTGTTATGCACGGACATCGCTGCTCGAGGGCTAGATTTTGTGGATACACACACCGTACTTATGCTGTCTATGCCAATAGGTAATATGGCGGTCGAAACTTTTGTGCACCGTGCCGGCCGTACTGCACGTGTCAACCGTGGTGGACAATGCATCGCTTTGTATGATCACACTGAAGAAGATGTCATGGATGCTGTCCTCAAATCGGCGCACGTTGTGTTTCAAAATTTTATTCCGCCAGCTACATTTACGATTGAGTCCTCATTTTCCAAATCTAAAGAGAATTCCAAGGAGTTGGAAAAGGCGGCTGCGATACCAAGTAGTTTGGTAAAGTTTCGGCTAACAGTAAAAAATCCTTTTCGATTAAGTCGCCCTGAGGTAAAGGTGCCCGCTGCTCGTGCGGTATTGGAGAAGCAGATTGGAGAGGATCTCTTGAAGGAGATCCATGACATGTCAGATAGCGTTAAGGATGCTGAGGTGGTTCTTTTTACAATCTCTGCACGATTGGCACATGAGATAAAACGCAAACTTTGGAAGTACAGGCTTGAGGAATTATCGTGAATAGACAGACTAGCGCGATACGGCTATCCTGTTGTTTGATGAGTCGAAAAGAAAAATGTGGTGGAGGAGACCGAATGAAAATCTGTGAATGAATTGTTCGTATAAAGAATAGTATATCTTTTTTAAAAGATAAAAATAAACTCTAAATTAACTACGCGTTAAATTGTGAATCCCCAGTATTATAAGGGTGATAAAGTAATATAACTGCTTGCCTATTCAATCCACAGGTCAATGGAGGGGGGTGGGTGGTGACCTTGTTATTATACTGGAGAGGAGTCTGTGAGTGTCATGTTGGATTTAAGTTTATAGTTGCATCTTTTCACTCTGATATTTCTTTCCATTTATGACCTCAAAGGACATTTCTTATATGCCTTTTTATGGGATATCTTCGGAGGCCTTTGCACAATCATATCCAATACCTATACACACGTTTCAATACTTTTCGGTTTCGAACATTTACGGTTTAGATGTTTCGCAAGACTCTTAAAGCACTTGTATTCATTTGTAGTCCCGCGCTTCAAGCCCCAGCCCCAGCGATAATAGACAACCCTCTCAGCAACCATGACAGCCAAGCGCGGGCTGCACCAGACGATGAGAGGAATCGCCTATGCGATGGGTTGTGTGCCATTCTTATTGACGAGTTAAAAACCTGCAAAACGGGGGCACTTCGCAGTTATTTCGAGCAGCGTCTGCTGGCGCGCGGACTTTCATCGTGGAGTGGGAGCGCCCTTCCTCAGTATCTCGACATGGTGGGGAAGGACCCGGCGGAATCGCAGGCGGCGTTGCTTTGTGAGTTGTGGCGGCTGGCCAGTCCGCATTATTACAAAGCCCCAGACCCCCCCTCGACGGAGGATGGCCTGATTGTCCCATTCGACTGGGCCGCGGTGCTGCGTGAGGTGGCGGCGGACCTCCCTTATGAAGGGGTCACGGAGGTGGACTTTGTGGACCGCCTGCGGCGACGCTCTCCCGGGATCCCCACGGAGGATCTCCCGACGTGGCTGTGGGAGCATTTTTCCGATCTCTTTTTGGTCACCCGCTCCGTGGTGACGGATGGGATGCTGTACTACCACCGACGGCGCAATGGCCTGTTAATTCCCGATGGCCACGCGGCGGACCTGAAGGAAAAGACCCCACTCGAGAAAGGGGAGATCGACAATACGGCCCTCGCGCTGGGGAACGCATTGCATTTACTAAATCGAGGAAAGCAGCTGCCGGTCTGGACCGACTTGGCAGCGGTGGCGGCTCTTCTGCCGACGAAGATGGGACCTAGTCAGGACAGGTGGTCCGACTTTTTAGACCGACCTGGTGTGCGGGATCTTTTTGAGGTCGAGTCGGCGGTTATGGTTCGGTGGCCCACTGAGTCTTTGCGTTCTTCATCGATGTTGACTATTGTGGATTCCATCTCTCTCAGCGTACAAGAGCAAGAGTCACTTCTCCAAGAGATTCTTCCTTTCGGCAGCGACAGCGTGGATTCAGTGAAGCTTGAAAAGATGTTGTCCGAAGTGACGTATTGCGAAGTTAAAGTCATACAGAATCGCTGTAAACCCTGTGATATTGCAACGAGCTTAATGCACGCGGAGGAAGTCATCATGGATGATTTTCTCGATTCCGATCATTTGATTTGCGCACTCATTAGTATCGCCAAACACGAGTCTCCAGGGTGCATTGTTCATGTGTTGTGTGGGGATGCTCTTTTACCGGTCGTTTCATCATCCTTGAGGGATCTCCCGTCGGTCGTGGGGTTGACGGTGTCTCTCCACACCCCTTTAGCTCATCACTGTGTGATTCCAGTCAAGATTCCCGAGTCTGGTACTCTACTCCCCAAGGCGGGAAAGGAGGAGGAAGAGAACCAGTAAGAAGCAGGGCGAATATTCACAATGATCTCGACTAGGTTTTTGTTTGTTGGCTTTTTGGTATTTCACATCACCGTTACTATGATCTGTAAATCTATTTATATTTCCACAACATATGACCTTTTTCATTATCGTAGGGTCTAAAAGTTGACCAAAGGGTGAGGGAGAGGAGGGTATAAAGAACAGTGAAGGGCACAGTTATTAGTTTAGAGGATTCACACAATAAAAAAGCGTTAGGGATCTCCCCCCTTTTGAATTAGTTCGTGTGGAAAAGGGAAGATGAGCTTTCATTTTCTCACTTTGCTTTCTTCTTCAGTCGATCTTAAATAGTTTGTAGTAGCGTTAGAAACCTGAAAGGGATTCCTCTATTTTCATTTGTTCTCTTTTTTTTCTTTGAGCGGTTTCCTCAGTGGTGAGGACCTCTCAATGGAGCGATTTCAGAAAGTGCTTGATGCACTTCAGCGAGAATCCAGAGAGCTTATCACAGCTGCCCAGGATGCGATGATGCAGACCCTATTGCACGATGACGTGGAGCCTGCGCGCATCGCACTGATTTTGGCACAGCGGTTTACTGAGGAGCGAATTGCCTCCAGCTTTCCCGTCGTATGCCTTTTGGATGCCATGCTCAAAGAATCCAAGAACCCTGGTAAAGATCCGAAGCGGCGTGCGTTCTTTATTGCTATTAGTCAGGAATTCTTTAAGCTAGCGCCGAGTTTATTTCTTCATTTTCGTACTTCGCCACAAGCGAGTTCTGTACTGCGCGATAAAGTACTCCGGGTGCTCAAGCGATGGGCGCAAGCGCAGCTGTTGAGTGCAGGGCAAGTAGGGCCTCTCACACGGGCTGTTGAGTTGGGGGCGCCGCTATCGCAGGATTCGGGGGTGAAAAACGAAGGCACCGCTGCGGACGTCAAAGCCACGCATACGGGTAAAGCAAACCTTGATTCTAGCCGCATCACTAACAGCGATCCGGTCAATGCTTCTGATCAACGAATTAGTAATTCCGACGAAGCTGGAATGCGCAAGGTACTCACCCATGTGCAGGCGCAATCGTTTCGAAGCGTTCTCCATCAATGTGTTGCGATTATAGAGCAGCTTCCGCTCAAGGATGCACAGCCTTACGTAGAGCTCATCCGAAGCGAAAACTTTCACCACCCCACCATGGCGGCGCTTGCATTCTCAAAGGATTTATTAGCCCAATTGCAGCGGGGTTCGTGTTTGGCAAAGGATCATCAGGGGACAGTGGGTACTATGGTGGGAGCTCCTTCTTCTTCAACAGCAGCACCAGGGAAGAGCGCCGCCAGCGATGCCGCACGGCAGGATGCCCGAACTGCGCTTAGTCAGCTTCTGCATGCCATGCCATCCTCGACGGTGAGGGAGGGCGCAGAGGACGGCCTGGGGCCGATGAGCAGCACCTCGACCATGGTCACGCGATACCGGTCGCCCTTGCTGATGGATATTTTCCAGCAGTGCTCACACGCGGAGCGCACCGGATTCGGCGAATTTCGCCGACGTCAGCAGAGTAGTAGGGCGCTCGCCGCCTCCAAGATGGCGAATTATCCCCGAAAAGAAGTCTCGACTTGTCGGCCGTTCAGAATTCCATCTGCCTTACAAGCCGGTGGGGGGGCCATCCAGTGTTGGTTTCCCTCCCCATCGCAGTGGGTCAACGAGAAGGATGTGGCAAATATTCTCACTTTTTACGGCAGGGATAGCAATCTCCCAAAACTAGACGAGACCACGAGCATCGGAGGCGTTCCAAGAAAACGTGAGCGCAGCGAGTGAAGATAGTTATAGGGTTCCGTTATTAAGCTTCAGCAGAGGACAAGCTTCGAACTTTTGATCACGTTCGCAATTTCTTTACGTACTATCTCATTATTTTGTCGAAAGTAGATGGGTTTACACGCTATTGACCCGAATTGCCCTTTTTTTTCTTTGCATTGAATTTCAAGTGATTTTCGTGGTTAGAGTTATCGTTGGTTTAGTAACGCTAGACTGATACTTATTTATCAACATAGACATCATACATGTACTCATTATTATTTTTTTTTCAAGCTTTTCATTTATTCATATAATTCTTTTATTACCAATTATTTGCATCCGAGTGTGCCGTGATTTACTTTCACATTACAGATACTATAATTTGCCTGTGTCCGAATAGCAACCGCAATAATATGCAGCGTGTGTTCCAGATGTCGTCTGGGAGACAGGCCGTTGAGGAGATGGAAGTTTTCCTGCGAATGATGAGCCGCGTTCAACGCCGGTGGACCAAAATCATCGCAAATCGCGAAAACAAGGTTCGAAAACTCATGATGATTGAGGGTCAGTGTCGTGACCGTCTCACGCGTAACGTTCTTCGGGGCACACATGCCAATCTTAAATACTTGGTCAACACTGACTTGATTAGCACTGCAGAGGTTGCTGCTCCCCCGCCGTCCGAAACGTTTCAGTTGTATGGGATTCCACCTAGCCAAATCACACCCTTTTCGGTGTATGCCATTTCGCGTCTGTGGGCTGATCCGGATCGCGTTGATTTGCCCCTTCTCACATTGATCGCGGATTTTCAAAGCGCCTGGGCAATCCTTCCTCTTTCCAAGAAAGCGGTTTATGAGCAGCTTGCCGATACTTTTCGAGAGCGCAGTGAGAGGTCCTGCTGCGGGGCTGCGGCAATCGGTGCGGACACGCAACCCCAGAATGCCAAGCAAGTTCACAAGCCAAAAAGGGAACGATCAACGGCCAAAAGGCAGTGCAAGGAGCTAGGCGATGTTGACATCGTTAAGCCAATGGATCCTACCGACGCGAAGGCATCGAATTGGGAAGAATCTGCGTTTAGGCGTTTTGTAAAGCTCAGCATGCAGCAGATGCGTGCGGCGTTGGGAGACAAGTGTCTTTTACACAAGGAATGGGACCAAATCGCAAAAGCGGAATGGGAGTCCAAGAGCGTTCGACAGAAGCAATGTTATCTATAACATTTCTCTTGCATGACAATTCGGTTGTTTGAGTTTGATTTATTTGCAGGATTTTATTCACGTTTGATATACCAGAGAAGTGCTAAAAAGAAACGGTTTCCGAAAGTGTAGTGATCCCAGAATTTAATAATGCTTTTCTCGATTTACCCGCATCTAAGAATACCTACCCTTTCTTTCAGTTTTCGAATAGGCCCCAAAAAGGTATTGATAAAAAAGTGGACGAGTAGGGGATCGAACCCTAGGCCTTCCGTATGCGAAACGGACGCTCTACCACTGAGCTACACGCCCCGTGTGTCTGGGGCATCAAGATGCACATGAAATATAACTAAGGACTGAAAACACCCCTTCCCTTCGTCTCTGTTCCTAAGCGTGTGGGGTGGCTTGGCACCGGGGGGGGGGAGATATAATGACTTCGGCTCCGTGGGGTCTTTGCTTTCCCCCTTGAGTGCCGCCCCTTTTAGAGGGATTCTATTATGCCTATTCTAATTGCTTCACTATTTCATGTGACCTTGAGAAAGATATATCGGAGGGGACGTTGAGAAATTGAGATGGGTTCATCGATGATAGTAAACAGATTCTCACTTTTTTTTACAAACGTACCAACCTATCAAGCGTATTCTTGTATATGGATCTTCTAAAAATGGAAATAAAGTATATTACATCAGATCTGAGTATGTGAAACATTCTTATAGGAGTCACCCACGAATAAGTGAGAGAATCGGAGGCACAGTCACCAAAAGGCTTCCCTTAGCCCCCTTCTCACCTTTCCCTTTCAATTATACACAGTGTTTTAGATCCACCTCTGCCTTTGCTTTGAGAACATCATTTGTCGAGTCGCGAATTACCCTGGTGAGTGCCTTGCGTGCCTCTTCTACGCGGTTTAAACGTAGCAGCGCATGCGAAAGGTAGTACAAGCAGATGTTGGTCATAGATGGGGGCAATACGGACGAGCCTTGCATTGTCCCTGAGGTGTAAGTATCATTGCCCGATACATTTCGGATCGACCCCAACGCCTCAGTGCTTTTGGAGTCGTCTATGGTGATTCCCTCCCCCTGGTTCAAGTCTCGCGGCGCGGGGGAGCTGGATGGGGTTTCTTCCGCCTCGTCCGTGTGAATCGTCCCGCGGTGTGGAATTGCCTTGCCACTCAGTGCGCGCTGCAGGCACTTCAAGCTCCAGGTTGGCTTGTTTATCGTGATGAGCATCTCGCACCCCAGCTCCGCCCATAGGACGGCATCGGATAGGCCATGGCGCTGGGTCTGCTCGAACAGCATCCCCACCTGCTCCGGGTTCGTTCGCATGCACAAAAGGGCGAGAAAGGCCCACGTGCGCGGGTTCAGAGGGTTGCAGACGTTGCTTTCGTTGAGGCATGCCTCGGCGGCGATTGGATTGCCCGAGCGATAGTAGCCAATCCCGGCGCCGAGCCACATGAGGCTGTTCGCGGGCCAGGCCTCGATCCCGAGGGTGAAGACCCCCGTCGCGTCCTTAAATCGGCCCCGGGCGAGAAGGAGATTGCCCAGGCGGAGATAGCCCACGCTGAAGTGGTAGTGGAGGGAGTGCCCGACGCCGCATTCCTGCAGGACCTCCGGCTTTCCCGCCTTGGGGGTTGTGGGGAGTAAATAGTCCGGAATGCGAACCACCGGGGCTTTCACGACGCCCGTCCCGGCGCCCGAGCGGTCGTGGCCTTCGTGGTCTATTTTGCACAGCGCTGCCTTGTAGAGACGGATTGCCTGATCGAGGTGGCCGAGGGCCTCCTCGCTCTGAGCCCGCAAAAGCAGGATTTCATCCGGCAGCACCCGTGGGTCGTCCTGGGGCCGGGTTAACAGGTCCGACGCGAGCGGCGGAATGGCGTCGTCGTTTCCGATTTCCGCCTTTTCCGTAGCGTCCCCCTCCTCCTCGGGCCCCTCGTCGTTTTCGCCGAGGGCCGCGTTTGGCGGGTTCGCGCCCAGCGCCTCGAGCGTCTCCAAGACGTGCCGATGTTGCCCGTTCTGGGCGAAAAGCCGAGCGTAGAGCAGCTCCACGGACGTGCAGCCCAGCCGACATCGCGCGAGGCAGATATTCGCCAGCTCGGCGTGGTGGAGCTGCGCGGCGTAGCGGGCCACGGCGAGGAAAACGACCTCTTCCTGCTCGCTGGTCTGGCGCTGAAACGCCGCGGCGGTCTCCGCCGCGTTGTCGTCTGCCGGGGGGTCTGTCGAGTCGTCGTTGTGGGGGGGGGGAGGGGGGTTGGGCGGCGTGGAGGGCGCGGCGGACGGCGAGCCGGCGCTCGCGCTCCCACTTGGCGAGGTCGATTTCGTAGTCGGGGTCGCCCTCGCGGAGGTGGAGCATGTAGAGGTTGTTCAGCAGGGCCACGCACCCCCAGACGAGCGGGAGGGCCCCCCCCGCGGCGATCTCCACCCCGCTGTGCAGGTAGACGGCGGCCTCGCCGAGCCGGTCGTAGGCCAGCAGCAGCATCCCGTACGCCAGCAGCGCGCGGGTGTGGAAGGAGTCGCCGGTGATGGCCTCGCGGTAGGCCTGCTCCGCCTTGGCGATCTCGCCGATGCGGACGTAGAAGTCCCCGGCGTCGGCCCACACCTCGGGCGGCGGGGGCAATTCGGGGGCGGCGGGGGCGGCCGCCTCGCGGAGGGCCGCGGTGATGCGGGCCTGGTGGTAGGTCTCCGCGGGGGCGAAGTCCCCGCTGGACTCCGCCTCGCGCGCGCGCGCGAGCCAGACGTCGAGGCCCCGCGCCGGGGCCCCTCCCGGGGCCTGGGAGGGGTTATTTCCGCTGGGGGAGGGCGTCCTTTCGGGGTCTTGGACGGGCCCCCCGTGGCGCCCCGCCAGGTCGTTGAGCGAGCCGTGCACGCAGTCCAGGAGGTAGACGTACAACTCATTGCGCAGGCGGCTGATGGACTCGCGGGGGAGGGCGGGCGGGGGGTCCGCGGCGTGCCCCGCCGCGAGCCGCTCGCGGACCTGGCGGACCACCAGCGGGGTCAGTTGCGCCTTGTAGGCCGCGATGTGGCCGGAGGACTGGAGGAAGTCGAAGAAGCGCCGGCGCCAGTCCTCCTTCTCCTCCGTCGAGGCGTCCGGGGGGAGGACGGGGCGGGCGCCGGTCATGGCCTGGTAGTCCGCGAGGATGCGCGCGACGATGTCGCGCAG